AGCACTGCAAAGAGGTTGTAAAGACTTGGCAAGGTTTAGGAAGAGAGAAAAGGAAATGATGTTGTTCAAAATGGTTTAAAAAGTAAATTTTAAGATGTCTTAAGCTGACTTGGTTTTTTTCTGTCAAAGCAGTGAAAAGCTGAACACCTGCAGAAAACCTAAACATTTTTTCAGAAGGGTTCGGGTTGCTACAATGCTTGTCAGAGCCAGAGAATTCTGGGTATCACATTTACGTAGTTAGGTAGTGTGATATTCAGGTTAAGGACATGGTATTCTTCTCTGATGCTCATCTGTATTAAATTCCTGGCTTTGAAGATATGTCTTGAAGACCAACGTACTTTCTTGAGTAGTAATGTACTTTGTTGTTTCAAGAGGTAACTACAGTTAATACAGACATACGTGCTGTTGCAGCGCAGTGGTAAGAATGTTGTTATTAGTCATGCAAAAAGGTTTATCTTACCATCAAAATTAGATTAGGCACAAAAGTTTTGCGTAACTTATTTTACGCTATTGATTGATTGAAGTTTTGGATGTCTTTTTTTTTTTTCTCTTCCCTTGCTTATTTCTACTGACTGCAGTGGTTATGCTGCTTTATTTTCACCGCTGACGTGGAAGTGCTGATGATATAACTTTTAGGAGTTCTGCCCTAATTAGGATTTAGTGAATAACTGTTTTTTATGTTGTTTGTCAAACCACAAAGTAAATAACATTGATGGTGATAATAACATAAAAACAAACATCTAGCTTTGGTCTGGCAAGTGAGAAAAAATATTTTGGTTGAATGTTTCATTGCTTTTCTTGTAGCAAATAGTAAAGCAAAACTCCAAGAGCACAGTAATGTCTTGTTTTTGTTCCCAAACTGTATCTGTATTTTTTATTTGTAAATATATCCGACGCTCCTTGTTATAGCTCTAAGCCTCCAAATGAAGGAAACCCTTCAGAGAGGAGCTGGATTGATACCTTTTGGAAGAGTTGCGCTATTTAGGGTTTATTTCAAACCCAGTCTGTTCACTGAGACTTCTTCCACTAACTTTAATGAGCTTTGCTTTGAAGTGTTTATGCGAAGAATAAGTACCCCAAACTCTAGACTTGAGCAGCCCTCTGTATTAGCTGGATCCTGGAAAGGTCTAGCTGGGGTTCTTGTAACCCTCATTAAAACTTAAAGGAAAGTTGGTTTGATTTCTGTCTGTCTGAGTGGAATTTATCCCTCGTCTGCATACTACTAAGTCATCTCTGTCAGACATGACTCATCTTTAGGATTCATAAATTAGAAAGTGAAAATATCTCTCTGAGCTGCAGAGTATTCAGTAGAAATCATTAAAAGAAAAAAAAAAAAGAGCCATCAGAAGATCCCCTTGACAGTCTCTGTGCAAACTCTTTATCCTAATACAATGCCACTTGGGCATTTTCTAATTTAACCACCTATGTGGAATTGCTTCGTGGAAGCGCAAACATTTTTGGTATATGAGCTTAATATTTATTTGTAATACATTTGCTGAAATTGCTAACTCCAACCTGAGTAACAGATGGGGTCACTTGCTTGTCAAGGCTCAGGAGGGGGGAAAAAAGAATTTGCTGGTAACCTTCATTGGTGGTGTTTTTTAAAGTTCAGAAAGGCTAGCAGACACTCAGTTCTTGCCTCTCAAGCTTTAGTTGCAGATTCCTCACCTCATGCGAAAAGTTCATTATCTCAGTAATGTCTTGTTTTTGTTCCCAAACTGTATCTGTATTTTTTATTTGTAAATATATCCGACGCTCCTTGTTATAGCTCTAAGCCTCCAAATGAAGGAAACCCTTCAGAGAGGAGCTGGATTGATACCTTTTGGAAGAGTTGCGCTATTTAGGGTTTATTTCAAACCCAGTCTGTTCACTGAGACTTCTTCCACTAACTTTAATGAGCTTTGCTTTGAAGTGTTTATGCGAAGAATAAGTACCCCAAACTCTAGACTTGAGCAGCCCTCTGTATTAGCTGGATCCTGGAAAGGTCTAGCTGGGGTTCTTGTAACCCTCATTAAAACTCAAAGGAAAGTTGGTTTGATTTCTGTCTGTCTGGGTGGAATTTATCCCTCGTCTGCATACTACTAAGTCATCTCTGTCAGACATGACTCATCTTTAGGATTCATAAATTAGAAAGTGAAAATATCTCTCTGAGCCGCAGAGTATTCAGTAGAAATCATTAAAAGAAAAAAAAAGAGCCATCAGAAGATCCCCTTGACAGTCTCTGTGCAAACTCTTTATCCTAATACAATGCCACTTGGGCATTTTCTAATTTAACCACCTATGTGGAATTGCTTCGTGGAAGCGCAAACATTTTTGGTATATGAGCTTAATATTTATTTGTAATACATTTGCTGAAATTGCTAACTCCAACCTGAGTAACAGATGGGGTCACTTGCTTGTCAAGGCTCAGGAGGGGGGAAAAAAGAATTTGCTGGTAACCTTCATTGGTGGTGTTTTTTAAAGTTCAGAAAGGCTAGCAGACACTCAGTTCTTGCCTCTCAAGCTTTAGTTGCAGATTCCTCACCTCATGCGAAAAGTTCATTATCTCCCGCCCGCTCCCTGCCGAGGCCACTTTGTGAACTTCTCCTGTGTAAAGTTCATAGAATATACTCTCTCAGAAAAATAGCGTTGCAGTCAATGTTACTGCTTGCCATTATCATTAAGAGTTGTGGTCTGACCCCAAATTAGTTGTAAATACGTTCTTCCTATGTGATACATTATTCCTATTTAGTAAATTTGCTTCCCCACATTTAATTATTCTTGAAATGTGCTTCAGTAATCATACTAATTGAAAAAATGTTTAATCAAAACTTGATTGTTTAAGTTGTGTTCCTACTTGAGCTTCTTTGGGGGGATGGGTTAAAAGATTATAAATGGATGTCACGAGAGCCTAAGGAAATGTGAACTTCTCTGTGCTATTTTTTATAAACCATCTTCACGGCTGAAATCCTGCTAAAAACACAACTAGAAATCAAGTCACTGCTTTGTGCCTGAGAACCCTGGTCCACATCACCCGGGCGAGGCATTTTCCTGAACAAAGCAGGATCGTAGTGCGGATGCCATGCCCGTGCAATGGAAAGAACCATGATCTATTGCGTGTTTTTTAACTCTGCTGGGGGCCGTTTCGGTTAGACGTGATTGACCTGTTCAATGCATCGATGCCAGTGCATTAGGTCAGCGGTTGCGGGGTTGAAAAGCAGGCAGTAGTCCTCCTGGAAGCTGATGTTGACTTTGGTTCTGTTGTGCTTGGGCTGCTATTCATGCTAATGTTTATTCATCCACTTATCGTGCATCTGCGACTCTTCAGAACAGCTTGTGTCACCACTTACTCACAGACTTCCAGGTTTCTGTTTCTTTGCCCCTGACATCTTAAGATAGAAGGCCAGAAATAGCTGACTTTTTAGTTTGTTTTTAGACAGCTAAATAGCTGTAATCCACAGCTAAAGGTAATGTTGTGCTGATTTTAATCAAGGCACTGTGATTATTTCTAACACTTGAAATGGTCTGAAAACAACTGTCTTCAAGCTTCTGATAAGTGAAAGGTGCATAGAGATTGATCAAAGTGTGATAAAGCTCAGGGCAAATTCCAGCAGCATTCCAAGACAGCGATGAGCCAAGTTATGCTTAAGGAAACTAGGGGAAGAAAAGCCAGCCTGAGAGAACTGCAGGTAATGGAGAGACAGGATAAAGAACGGGGGTATTTTTTATTCTCGAATCAGGTCTCACGTGTATGGTACAGAAAAATTCCTAATAGAAATATCCCATTTCTTTAAGCCCAATGTATCTTTGACTCGGATGCCAACTTAGCTGCCCAGCCAAAATTTTCACCTAATTATATAATACCTAAATCTATATTTAGGTCTCTAAATAAAAGTGACCTGGATTTGAGAGTTAGCTCCACCTGAAGTTTCTTTAACTCCGCAGAGAAGCCAATGAGCACTGCAATTTAAACCCACTACAAATTAGGCCACCTGGCAAGACACAAGACATTTATCTTGTGCGTTGTATACCTTGTTTGGGTGGAAGAGGAAGAAAGGAGGACAATGGCAAAAAAAGAATTGATTTATGATTTTTTTTGCTGTTGTTGTTCTTGTCCTTCCTCCTTCCATCTCTGGGCTGCTGCCTTAAATGGCATCACGCTGCTGTTCACAGGCAAGAGAACTGTGACTTCAAAATACGATGTTTGCAGTCAGGTAGCTTTCCTCCTTGATCCTTGTAAGCCAAAACACACCTATGAACCCACTTACGTCGTGGGGGGGGGTGTGTGTTTGTGTATTAGCACAGCACAGTTCAGATGGCTTTATTAGTTGAGAGACAAAATTGCATGATAACTCTGCAAATCATCCTTAAAGTCTGTGGCACTTTTGGTTAAACAATATATATGTATGTGTTTATACGTATGTAGGTTTTTAGATGTGCATGTGTACTTATACATATATATAGTTTATGGTTCATGTAATGCTGACAGAGAAAAAGAAATCACACCCTGAGCAAAGCAAAAATGTGCATTAAAAGGCTATGTACTGCTTTGGTACTTTTTAGCTGCACAAAACCTATTTTTAAGAGCCAGTGGTGGGGGAATGATATCAGGCCTGAGCCCTGGGGTTTCCATCGAGCTATGTCAGGAGTGCCTGAGGAGTCAAAGCTTAGGGGGGGAAAAAGGCAAAGCGGAATAAGGTCACATTTTTCTCTATCCTCATGGGTTTCTTTCAGTCTCAGACAAATCAGCGCACTCTTCTCTCGTGGGGACCCAGTGTCAGGTTGGGAAACAGCATGGAGCTGAAATTAATGCATTTTTCCAGTAACTTGTTGCGTGCAGTTGCAGTTAGAAATGAGCAGAAGACATTTTTCTCCTTTCCTTTTAAACTGCTTGTTACCTCTGAGCAAGTGGCCTTGTTTTTTATTTCCCAAACAAGAAGAAAACTGATCCCTTTCCATTCCTCCCTCCCTCCTCCCCATTAGTTGGTGTGTCCAAAAAATAGCAAAAGAAAGGTACCTACGGGATTCAGGAGAATGGTGAGGAAGAGTTCACCTCCTCGGATACTTTTGTCCAGCTCCTGAGGACCCCCAGGATATTCCTTGTAAAAAATAGTATGAGTGAAAAGGCCACAGGTCTGTCGAGGGAGCACCTGAGAACAAAATAACAGCGGCGTTGTGACATTAATTCCTGTCTGCAAACTTACCCTGACACAGCCACCCGAGTCCCTCCAGCAACTCACAGAAACAAAAGCACGACCCTTTCTGCCCCCACGCTCTTGGTTTTGGGGCTCCTTTGTGCCTTTTGCACACTCACGGTAAGCAAGGGCAGACCTTGCGGGTGTGGAGGTTTCCTGACGCCGGCTCTGAAAAGCTGCGGCACATGTGGGCTGAGCTTGCATGCAGACTGTTTTGCTGGGCTCATACACTTGTAGTAAGTGTTTGTTTGCTGGCGTTTGGAAGAGGAAGAAAGCAAAAAGCCAAGCCTCTCTTCCCTCAGCAAGGTTAGTTTATTAGGAGGTAAAGAGTGCTTCCTGTCTGTCTCCACTATCTCAGAAAATTAATCTTGCTGTTCCTGAGACATTGAGCTGAGTTTGTGTTCAAGGCTGTGGACCACAAGCAACCTGTTGCTTCATGCTTTCCTCAGTCCTGAAAACCCTACCGGGCCCCTCGTCCTTGTTTGTGAAATGCATACGGGACTGGTGGGATGCTCGCATCAGGGCAGCCTGAGGGCAGCTCCCTGTCCCGTCATTAATCATAGAATCATTTAGGTTGGATCATCAAGATCCAACCTTTGGTGCCTTGGACCTGTAAGATCATCAAGAGGCCGTGTGTCAGAAACAAGCCATCTAGCAGGCATGGGAAACCAAACTCATCCTGGGGAACTAGCTAGCTTAGCTACATCGTTAGCTAGATACGAGCAGAGGGATCTGGTAACGCAAAGACAACAACTATCAGGGCTTGTGGGTATTGCCTTTTGTTTCCCTCCAGACAGTGTTTTTCCTTTTCTACTCAGTTAAAGCAACAAATAAAACCTGCGCTCAGCAGCGCATTTTAATACACGTGTAAATGCGCTGCTGCTTTTGAGGCTATTCCAACAGTAATTGGGCTCTAGGCAATAAACTGTTTTGGGGACCATAATTTTGACTTCATGTGCATAGGCAATATTCAAGTCAGCTGGGGCTTTAAAGCATCCTAGGACCTGCCCTTGAAATATTTCTAACTTCATTTGTGCACAGTCAATTTTTGTTTCTCCTATCTATAGGCTTGCAGCTGGCTGGTAAGACAGGCCAAATAACTTTATACATTTTTTCCTGCCTTGCGTGCAGTTGAAGTGTCTATGTCAGGAACCTTCTCTCTCCTCGCACAAACGTGTGGTCTGGAAGAGTTGGGCACGTGTCTGGTCCCTGGCTCTGCGGGTTTCAGAAGCAAAGCTCAGAACAAAACCTCAGTCTTGGAGGGTGCTGTGCTTGCTGGAGGAGCTTGCTTACGCCTGCTCACCTTCCCAGGTGGGGGATTTCTAATCCTTTCATGCATAAAGATGAACCAGAGCTTGAAGCACAGGTCTTAGGCAGTTTAATGAATTTCGTAGTATGCATTTATAACTCAGCTGGAAGTTGATGGGACTACAAGTACGTTTAGTTTGAGGATTACATTTGCAGTTGCCTGAGTTTGCATGACTTTTTTTTTTTTTTTAAAAAAAAAAACTGGCTGCATAACAAATGCACTATTTTGGCATCCTTACAAATCCTCGGTCACAGAGAATTTTAATGATTGCTGTAAAACTTGAAGCATTTGGTAAAAATAGCGTACTTCTGAGCCACTTAAAGTACTATTGCTATGAAGCATGGAAATGCAGTGTACCATGATGCCATTGTGGATGAAGCCCCGTCTGTACCGTGCAGGCTTCAGGTGCGGGTATTCTTCTGTGCTGGTCACTTGGATGTGCCAGACCTTCTTCCAGGCCTCGTACAGCTGGATGTGAACCGGGTAGACCCCTGAGTGGTGCGGAGCCACCGCGTACCCCATCCCAGTCGGTATGCCGTGCTCCTGCAACGCAACAGAGGCAGGAGGAGATTTAGGAACAGAAAAAAAGAACGTGTAATTATTCAAAGCTTATTTTTCCTGCAGACAGCAGTGTGGGAGAAGCTGTTGTCCTTGGACAGGCTCGTATCTATTTGTATGGAGCACAAGCTAAAAATGGGGGGGAGATGAGGGGAACTGGAATTACAGTTTATTAACTGCCGAGTGATGAATAATCCCCCTGGATTATGTTGCGTTACTGTTATATGGACTAGACTTGCCTGCCTGTTCTTTACATACTGCGTGTGTTTTAATATGCATCCTACCTGTTTGGGTCTTTTTAAAGGTAATCCGGTAAGCTGATGTGCTTATTTACTAAACTATCAAACAGCATTGGAGCAGTAAACAGATGGAAAAAAATTGTTGCAGTGACATGTGTGGGATTTTTTGGTTTCCTATTTTGGGAATAAGAGGAAGAAACCTTCCCAATTTAAAAAAATAAATAAATATCCCCCCTAGCTTCTGAATCTGCTTATATTTTTTCCAGGGTATTAAGATAGCAGCAAAAAAAAAAAAGCTGGACTTCAACAGACACTTGTTTCATTTCATAAATATTTATTTAGCTCCATTTCTATGAGGAAATAAGTGTGTTTTCATGAATATAATCTATAGGTTATCTCAAAAATATCTTCTGATGGCACAATGAGGTAGTTAAGGTGCGAGCAGAAGGAATTCAGGGAGAAGCTTAGCTGTGAGTGTGCTGGGCATCTTCCCTTCACTCCTGATGCTCCCCTGCCTTTGTCCTGCTCCTCATCCCTCCTGCTCCTGACTTGGCGTGGGCTGCCCTGAGAACCCCACCTGATGATGTGGCCTGATAACCACATCTATGGACTGGGATATATTTAAAAGAGAACAAATTACTTGAAGCGCATAAGCTACACGTGTGAAAATGAAGTAATTGGCCCGTGTGACTCTTCAGAAATGCATCCAGGGTTTTATCATCAGCTACCGGTGGAAAGAAAGGCTGCGCTCTGCCTCTTCTCCTTCTGAGAAGGTTTCCAGCAGGTCCCATAGAAGGCCTTTGGAGCCCTCCTATGGCACCTCCACCTTGCAGGGTGTCCTGCTGCTCTCGAAGGACCCCTTCCCATGCTCTGGGTGTTTCCTGAACTCATTTTACTCCCGGTACTACAGGATACATCAGCTGTTTTCTGTTCATATAAAGCTGATGTTCAGAGGGAAATGGCTAAAGTGTGAGACAATTTTTTTTTTGTCCTCCCTCTCACCCACATTATCTAAGAACTGTTGATTACTTTAATTCCAGGAACAGCAGGTTCTGCTGGGCATCTTCAAGTACTTTGCAAAGAAAGGCTTTTGGTTCATTGACAAAAATTAAGTTAAATCTGTGGTGAACACTTGTTCTTCCATCACATAATGCAACCACTTAAAATTATCCATTCCTTATTAGTAAAGATCTTAGGTTACTGACTGATCCTGAAAAGAAGAGATCCAAACTCACTATTTTGTAATTTACCGAGAGGAAAATGTAATTTCTGCTTATTAATGCTGTTACCCACTTGAAAAGCATGAGTCAGTTTAAGGGTGAAATGAGGAACAGCTCCATAATGAGAAGTGTTAAATCGCTCTTTTCTCTATTTTTTTTTTTCTGCCATGAACACGTACAAAGGAAAAAGCTATATCTAAAAGCTTCTGAAAAATCTGGCCACTTACTGCTCTGAGGAGTCCGTGACGCTCACGCTGTCAAATATACGGTGTTAAATTATATGCTATATTAACCTGAATCTACAAACCTTCACCAAACCTGCGTTACGGAGTATACAGACACGTAAATGCAAGGCAAATATGTCCTGAGCTAGATAATGAACACAGCTCTGAATGGTATGTCCAGAAGTAGGTGTCTGGGTGGATACATGCAAAATCCTGTTTATCTGCTTACTCTTTGCTGCTGGTATTGCCTTAGCAACAGAATGGTGAAATGGTAATCTGCCACTCACAAATAAAATAATGTGGCTTTTCATAAGTTCTCAATATAAAAAGCTAATTAGCCAGCAAACAAAACCTGTGTGCTGCATAGCTCATCACGGAAATGCACTGCAGTCGCTCAGACACCCAATGTGACTTTAAGAAGAAACAGCTAACAAACAATCAGATTTCCTTTGGTCAGCTCCATGTTCAGTTTACTTGAGTAAATTAAATATTATGTCCTCCTTTAGTGATTTCTGTTGCTCTGTTTCCTTTTTTTCCTCTCATTTTGTTATTAAATTTAGTATGGGATTGGGAACTGCTGTGTTGAAGGAGGAGTTTATGTTTGAATCTAAGCTATTTGGCAAAATGGGAGATGCCTGTAGTGAGTATATTTTCTCATATATTCTAAAGAACTATTTCCTACAATATTTCATTGGTTTCTTTTTACATTTAAGACTTCTATCTTTTTTAATTTCCGAATTTGTTCAAAAACTTTATGTATATGTTGTTCTAGTTTGGAAAACTTCTGGCCCTTTTTGGGGCTGAGAAAGGTTCCTTTGCACGCTTAAGCTGGGAGCCCAGCGCCGTTGATTTTGGACAGGTTAAATTTGTATTTCTACTTTACTTGTGTGTTAAGAGACTTTAAATTCTAATTTAAATGACAGTGTAAGCTGAAGCTGCAGCAGTGGGTGAGTTTGATATTAAAGGTGAAACACTGCCATAGCCTCTGAGATGGGGGGAAAGATGATTAAAGCAATTATTGCATTTTTGGCAGAAAATTCCCCCAGTTGTTGCTGCTTCCTATGTGCTGGTTCACATCGTGGGGTGGTCTGGGAGCATGCGACCTACCTTGTTTTAAGGGCTAGGCCAGACTAGAGGATGCTCTCCAGGAGGGCACCTCGTGTCTTCCAGGCACCAGTGAGCATGTGGAACGTGGATCGGGCTGCTACCAGCTCAAAATATCCCTCCGCTTCACGCGGCAAAGCCCAAGAAGTCGCCGTCTCACGCGTCTGCTGATGCACCCAAGCCAAGGGCAATGGGAATTGGAAACTCATAGCCTTGCTGAGGCAGCCTGGCATGTCTGCGCAGCCTCCAGAATTACCTTGCCCAGAGCCCATGCCTAGGACAGGTACTTTTACGGGTGATCTGAAAGGCTGAAGCAATCTGCCAAGGCTGCTCTGCTTATCTCTCTCAATTATCAGCTTCGTTCAAGCAAGTGAAGATTTCCTTGAAACTCCTAACCTCTTTTGACCTTCCTATTTGTACGGAAATGAGCGGTGTTTGGCCACGTGCTGTGCGTACTTATTCTGCATTTGCAAAAAAAAAAAACAAACCCTTCTGCTAAAGAAAGGGCAGGTTATGCAGGATGAGCACTGCTCTCCAGGAGGTATATTCTCACAAGTAAGCTTGCATTCCTGTAGCAGTTTTGCTGTGAGCAGATGTTGGAAATCTGAAAAAAAACCCCAATCTAGCATCTGGAAGATTGACTGTTTATATTGGCAGGATCTTGTCCGACGGGAAAAAACCCACTTTTTGATTGCATCAAATATTACATGCCCTTGTCAAAATGCAGTGAGAAATAAAAATGAAACAAAACCTAAAACTGTTGTAACACAACTGACGTTCTGGTTCATAAAGACTATTGGTGATTTGTTTTACAGAAACATTTAGTGTTGGCCATTGCCAGAGAAAGAATAAAAAAGCAACCTTTTAATTTATTAAATCTTATGTCTACTGTAGGTCTTTTCACGCAGTCAGCGTGGTTTCCCTCTGGTGTAAAGGTTTTTACTAGATGAAGAAGTTAACAGTACAACTTCAGGTAAGTTTGCTAAACTTTTTGACTTTGTCCAACAGTAGGTGATAGCGTAAATGTAGTACTTCTTAAGACGGAACCTTCCAAAGTTAAAAGATTTACATAAGCTTTGCATATTTTTAGTACTGGGATATATTTCCAATATTGCTGCATGTGGGTGAGATTTCCTATAAGAGATTATATGTTACTATGTCACTTTAAAAGACTTAGTAGATTTTCTCTTATTTGGTAAATTCATTTGCTACTTCCTTGCTTGTCAGCGCTCACAAAACCGTTGTGTGGTATTTTATCCTTTATGGACACATAATTTTTGTTCTCAAGGCTTACGATTTTTATTGCATAAATATTTCAGCTTTCCAATACTTCTAGTTCAATTCTAAACTTTAAGAATCTGCTTGAAAGCTCTCTAGCTAGACAAGGGAGTTCAGCAAATGAGAGATGATGGTTATTGAGGTATAGGGGCTCTGTGTTGGTATTTGCTTTCACCATTGGTTTTTCATCTCTGTGGTGTGCTTCCTTGCCATGTGGTTGTACAAGGTGTCAAGCAGAGCGTACAAGGGGTGCTAACCTAGTGGGTTTTCTGGTGTCAGCTTCAGATCCGGGATTGACAAGGATGTGGGAAAAGCCAGCTTTTCACTGGTCTTACATAGGAGTCTCCCAGATATCACCACAACTCCTGTTCTAGGCATGCTTCGCACTGTAGAAGACTACCAAGGGGCAGAGAAGGTGTTGGGATTTAAGACCTTGGGGTTTCTGAGGATGTGAAATGAAGAAGGGCAGTCAAGTGTGGAGGAAGCCTGTGTGACGAGGAAACCCGTAGGCTCCACACGCGTGTGGTACCAAGCAAAGCTGAGAAAGTAAGAAGCAGCCTTAGAGATGTGCCCTCAAAGCACGCTCCTGGCACGGACAAAAGCGTGAATGAAGATGGGCGATTGCAGAAGGACCTTAAGGTTAGGCAGTATAAATCTTAACCCTGTCTGTGCAGGAGAATGTTATCCTTTATATGCAGAGCATTTACAGAACATTTTCAGAGGCAATCTCCAGTGGGCATCTCTCTTCCCAACATTAACTACAGATATTATTAACGGGACAAATTAGACTCGCTTTTCATCACATGTAGATACTTTGCCTTTGGTATGTGGTCACTGGTCTTCGTATTCTTCGTATTTAATTGGTATATTAAAAGCTCATGGTTTCTTTGTGGTTTGGGCAGCCTCAAAGTTTTAGGCAGAGGAAGTGCTAATGTGCATCTGTAGTTGGTTTGTAAACCGGAGATTGAAGCTGAGGAGCATTACTAGACAGGCTTTGAATCGATTTATTTATTTGGTGTATATGTGTGTCTTGCTTCTTCACATCAGATCACAGCTACCTTTTTACAGGTGACGATAGTTTGTGCCCTGTTTCTACCATGCTTTGGGCTGATGTGCTCACAAATGGGCACAGAAGATAATCACTGAGCAAACAAATCGAGGGACCAAATAAAGAGCTACAGGCTTTGGATTGAATATATTCTAATTGGTTTTGTCAGATAAGGATGTACAAAGGGAGGAAGGAAGGATATCTTGTGATTAAAGGATGGTAGTGAAAACTTGGTTCATTTTATTCTTGGAATATGTACTGTCAGAGACTTTTGCTCAATTTGTTTACCTCTTTATGTGTCAATTGCATTGCCTATAAACCAGGAGAGTAATACTTGAGATATTATCAGTTTGCAAAACTCAATCCAAGGCTTAATCCACTAGCGTCTTTAAAGGATTTTGGGATCCTCTGATAGAGGGGGGGAAAAAAAAAACAAACCACAAAACCACAACCCCCCCCATCCCAAACATGATCAAGTCAAACCCAACAGATAAACAAAATAAATGTCATTTTCCATTTCCTTAGTCAGGTTCTGAAGCATGCCTTCCATATTTACATAAATAAGATGACACTGGGATCGCAAATTTCTGGGCAGTCTGCAACTCGCTTCACCACGGTTAAAATCTCTGGCTCGTGTTCCTCTGAGGCTGAGGATATGATGAGCACTTGAGATGAGTTTTGGCAGCGAGGGCTGTGGGAATGGGGCTATGGGCGGTGGCAGCTGTGGGTCCCATTGCTCAGGCACGTGTGGACAGGGATTTTGCCAGGTAAAACTTCCCATGCGGCCTGCCGGATCCCCAGCAGTGGGGCAGTAACATATATGAAAGATGCAAGCAAGTCTCCTCCTTGCACCAACTGGGCGTGAAACAGTAGAAATGATTAATATCTCCATAGCACGTAAGTACAATAATTTGGAGGGCTCTTGTTAAAGCCAGTCTCCTGGTTCACAAGCAACTCCTGTGTAGGGGAATCCTTTAAAGACTGTTGGTTTTACTAAGCCCCGGATACAGAGGTATACATAGCTGCACTGAAATCAGGGCAATTAGATACCTAATTAGCAATTAGTTGTATATGAAACTGTTTAGATACTGGATTTCTACATGTGTTTTGTGATACAGCTGTTTGAAGCAGGCTGCAATCGTAAGGCCCTGCTTTCTAGGGCATCATAATGAGGTACAGGTATATCTGTGCAAAACAACAAGGTCTTTTATCCGGTTGCCAGCCCTACCACCTGTATTTCTTCCCTGTGTTCAAGCAGGCTGCATGTGTGCTTGAGCTCCTGCAAACCAAAGATTACACATAGTGTCAATATAAGAGCCAATAAAAATTATGCATATGTACATTTATAGTTCCACACGATAATATCCATGAAATACTGCTTCAGGTGCACTGGCTTTTGCTTATTAAGCTTGATTGTAATCCACAGCACTGAAGAGAAGGACCTTCTTCTCATGAAATCTTTTCCCCCGGTGAGCAACGTCAGCCCCAGGCCTGATATTCCCTTGCATGGAGAAACTTTTGACTGTGATGGGACTTGGGTGCAGGTTTCTGGACAGTGTGACCTCTTTTAGCTTTCTTTGAAAATGATAAAGCCAGGAGGAGCCAAGAGGTCTTAAGGAGCAAAATTCTTGTGGTGGTATTTGGGATTTTAAAACAACCTTGACTGTTCTCAGGTATAATGATGTGCTCTCCTATCCTGAAGGACCCTGCTAGCTTCTTACCCATGTTTAAAAAAAACTGAGATGAGAAATGCCACATTAGGTGAAGAATGAATGTGATCATACTTCCAAACAATTATTGCGGCTTTCCTTGCAGACACTGACACAGTGTCATCTCTACCTGCAGCTAAAACAGGAGGTGGGGAGATGTGGTCAATAAATGGGAAATGCAAGAGAAAATGGCATCAGCATGAAGCTGGGTTCCCCTGGGTACACTACTAAATAAAGATGTTAGAGCACAAATAAAACATGTATAACATCACGCAGATTTTCTATGTGTTGCTTTTAGATTTCTAATTTAATTTTGGATCCACACTGTGGAGTCAAAGAACAACCAAGAGGGGGTTGCTTTAACTTTGGAGGACTTACAGAAGTGCAGCTGTAGAACAGGGAGTTCCTTTCCCAAGTAAGATATGATGCTGAGGATGAGAAAGCAGGGGAGGATACAGAACTACTCTGAAGTCATGGCTGGGACCTCTCTGATAGCTATCAGGAAGGTTTGTCATATCAGGAAGATAAATTTCTCCCACAGAGAGGATTTCACAGGAAGCCTTTTGAAAAGAAATGTTCTCATAAGTAAATTGTACAGCTCGTATAGATTCAAGGTTAAGAGGTTGGTACAACCCCTGTCCAAATGTTAGCAGGAAATAAAACTGTAATAACAGCAGCCTTTCACTGACATCAGCTCCTTATTTATAGGCGCCCTAAGGAGTCTCTACCCTTCAGTGGTGATGGGGACGTGGTCTTTATCTTCCTGTAGCTGAAGTCGCAAACGCAGATTCTATTACAAGCCCTGTTTTCAGGCTATGCTATAGATTTTATTCCTAAAGGTGCTTTGACCTAGAGGACTTCACGTTTCCTGAAAATACGAGGAGAATTTCCCTGTAGGTTTAAAGATGAATGGACTATGCATCATTTTGAGATACGAGTTATTTAAAACATTACTCCTGCATTTTAAAATCTTAAGTATATTTGGGTCTCTGGGCCAGGCTACGCAAAAGGCATGAACAGGCCATGCCAGGAATGAAGGCTGACAGTAAAGCAGAACTGTAGAAGGGAAAAGAAGTCATCCAAAATGCCTCTGTACTAACACCCTGCCAAGCAGGAGATGGAAGGAGGGGAGAAGTCTGGCAAGAAGAGCAAATGGTTAAGCCATTTTTAATGAATTTTCTTTAGAAGTTTTTAGGAAAATATTTTCATAAACAAGGGAATAATTTGCTTCCAACTGCTTGTTCAGGCATCTGCCTTGGCTGGTTCCCTGATGCGCCTTGGCTGGTGTGAGGGGTGGGAGGAAGGGGCTGCTGCTGGCTGGCCTTTCCCAGCTCCGAAGGACTGGGACTTGAGTTCCCTGAGCAGTAGCGAAAGCCCCGCTGTGTCACTTTGCTCTTTTGAGCACTTTGCTCTGGTTGCTTGGCATTTCTACGCCTTGTCAATGACCACATGGTGTCTTTTCCGAAGCGAGCATTTATAGATTTCAGGTTTTCTTTGTCATGCTCCGTAAGCAAGTAGAATTACCCTGAAAGGACTCTAAATGGCTTCCACCTGACCTTGGAGTACAAGAGCTCTGAGCTCCGGGCAATGCTAGGAGAATGGCTCTTGTAAGTTAACAACACAAATGAGCAAAAATGAAGCATCATTATCTATAAATATTAGCAACAGGTTAGCTATGTAAAAAGCATATTTTCAAGCAGGTCATCTAAAAAAAGTGGAGTGAAATCCAGTGGAGCCACTTATTTGCTTCATTAGCTTCAAGATTTCTCACAAACCATACACGACATTTATGGTTCACTGCAACTTTCTCCCTGCCCTGTTGAGGATGTTTGCACCAGACTTCAGGAAGCTGATAACCTGTGTATAAACCCCTGCCTAAAGCTTAAAAGGCCAGCTGATATCTGCTGAGATTTCACTGCTGCTGACCCCTATAGTCTTGCAAGGTTGCTTGAGCGAAGGGCTGCTACCTCTCTGGAAAGCCCGTGTCAGTGAAAAAGCCAAGACAAAATTCAGCCTGAGTTTGAGCTACAGAAAGGCATTTTTCTGGGCTGAGTTTCCAATCTTGCTGCCTTATTTGCATATCCATGTAAATATACAGATCTGTATAATATAGATCAACATAAAAAAAACTTGGAAATCATAGCTGTAATACGCAAAGGTATCCTAGCGAGCCTTTTGGTAACTTTTACTCACTATTGCAAATTCTTTGTTGAGGATCATCTGCTCCACCAGTGATGACTCGTTGTGGAAGAGGTGAGGCTGCATGTGACTCCACATATGGGGGAACCACCAAAACTCATCCACAGATCTCAACAGCAGGTCATCACCTTCATCTTCCTCTTCAGTCCCTGCAAAAGAAGAAAGAAAAAAAAAGGCAATAGAAAAGCAAGAGCAGAAAATGCCCATAATTGTTTTTTAAACACAGAAGAGGTTGCCATAAAACCTAATGTCCTTGGTGTGGATGTCTCGCTGTGCTGCAGGGAGGCTCTACCCTATCACAAAAGGAGTGAGATGAATTACCATGGATGGTAGCTATCCCTTTCTGTTCCTAGCACGGTGTTAACTGACAGTAATTCTAACAAGAATTAGTTTTCGAGGGCTGATTGTTGCGCTCTGCGATGCACTAGGAGTATTTAGAAGTTCAGGCTCCCCGTGAAGGTGGAGATTGGATGGACTTGTACCCACCTCTGGTCCTGCCAGATGCTGTGCAGTTGTAGCTGGCCGAGAAGGCACGGCAGCGACCTGTGTGCCAGAGGCTTGCCAACTGCTCCCCGCCCCCAGCTACCTCGTTATTAGCCTCGGCAAACTGAAATCTGATCATCTGTGGTCAAGCGTGAAACAAGTTTGCAATGGTTTCAAAATACAACTTGGTGGCAAACATGAAGTTGTAATGGCAAAGGGCTTCCAAATGTTGTTTCCTGTGGTTCAGTATTCAATTTTTGCCTGGTTTAATATTGACGTAAACCCAATAAAAACTCCTGTGTTAGTGAAGAGTATCTCCTTCAGGCAGAAGCGAGCATGTGTGGTTAAAAAAAGAAAACCTTCATTTGAGAAATGATACGATGCTGCTTCCACCATCTGCAGACACATGTCCGCAGTGCTTTTTAAAATTGGAAAGGCAAAGTTACGTTTCGGTAACTTCACCCTCAACTGACTTGACAACGTTCAGTTTACTAGCAGCCTTCTTTCTCATTCCTTTACCATTCAAATGCTTTTATTTGGCTTCAGTCAGAGAAATAATTGTCACGATCCGTCTACTGATGTAAACACAGATCTCTTTTCTTCTTACAAGCCTTTCAATGTTTTGCAAATCTCATTGGAAGAAAATGCTCCATGGATGTCACTGTTTACTTTTGTGGCACGAGGCAGGAACATACAGAGAAGGCTGTTGGGTGCACGCACTCCAGCTCTTTATTTTTCACTTCTGTAGTGTTTTTTTTAAGAATGCTACTACACAAGGAGAGCGTTCCTTTGAAACTTTCTCCTGGTGTCACTGCATCCCCTTACCTCCCCCCTTTGCAGCTCTCTGCGAGTTCTAAGAAAGTTGCTCCCGTTGATGGGAGTGCTGCTGGGAAAAAGAAAACAACCTTGTTTTCTAGGTAATTCCTTATTGAGAAGAAAGGCTCCATGGCTGCTCCTTTTGTGAACGTCTGCTCCTTCGTGCAAAACTTCTGCATACTGCATCTGTTGAACGACCGCTCTCTTGGTTTCTGGGGTATGTGGTTCACTCGCAGCCACTCGGGCACATGCAAGTGAAATGCGATTGGAGGGAGAAACTTAACGTAGGCTTTCAAAATAGGAGAGAAGAGAAAGGGATAGCAGTTTGTGAAGCCATTGGAGGTGTCTTTGGTAACCCAGAGGTAGAAAACTGACGGTGGGGATGAAGAGGAAAGAAGTGGATGTTTGCGATATATAACTACAATAATTTGACATAAGATTTAGGTCAAAGTATAATTTAGTGCCTTACTAACATTTGAAGTAGAGTACGTGTCTAGAAATAATTTCATAGTTATAAACTATATTTTAAAATCCTATTTTTTTCCTATTCATTTCTTTGAAAGTTCAGATACAACTAATCAAACTTTGCACTTTCTTTTATTGTAACAAAAATCAAATAAGATAAAGCATAATGCTTTCTGGTTTAAACAAAACCAACCCCACCCTGTCATGGCAGAGCTGAAACGGAAAATTTGAGAGTTTAATGTTGGGTGGTGGTGTCACTTTTGAGGATAATTTTCTTTACAAGCCTTTAAAAGTAGTGTTGTTTGATTTTATAACCCCTTAAGTAGCATTATTTCCAAAAAATCTCAAGCAAAGGTTTAATGCAGCATTGGGTGAGTGCTTATATTGTTTAAATTTTTTTTTCCCCAATACCTTATTCAGAGGATTGGAGGCAAAACAAGGGATTTTGAGGTTTTTATCTCTTGTACAATCAACATTTTTAATGTAATTTCTATCTTCATTTTAATGTGAAATCTGAAAAATGCAGTAGAACTACAATCAAGGAGGTGAACATATATCTGCTTTGAGATGCAGTATGCACTTTACACAGGTAGGTAATAATTCAAAGGTTGTTTGCAAACATAAATAACCCCATATTTCAAAAGTACAACCGTAACTTAGAGGTCTCTTTTGAGCTCAAAACTGAAACTAACTTTGAAGTTGCTATCAATAATCTTATAAATCTTAAATGCAAATCCTGAGTGCATCTTAATTGCTGTTGCCACAGCACGAACAGGTAGAAAGTGTTTGCTAAAACTGCATAACTAAGAGGGTCTACTCATTTTTTTGCTAATGGCGTTACATCTGCAGTGCCTCGTTTACCAGTGGCGATGAGGTGGTGGCGGGGAGATGATGAGCAGCAAGACGGATGTGGCAGCTACTGTCCTTGTGCACCAATACAATGGAATTGGTATTTGTAGTACAGATGTCGGCAGTGTCTTTTGATTAAAACGTATAACTGTTTAATCTGCCGACACATTCCCACACTCATCTCCCTCCTGTAGTTTTAAAATGATCCAAGTTTTGGAAAGGAGAGCAAAATCACACATTAAGGAAGTCAATAAAGCACAGCAGTTGCAGCGCGCTAATAAAACATGTTGAGTATCTGATACTAAAAGCCTCTCTGGGCAAACAAGTCACATTTACAGTAATTAAAGAATACCTTTCCATGTTTTATTTATAACAAGTCAATAAAGTGTATATTGCATGGAGAATTCTGTGAACCCTTTCCACTAAGCTGATATGACAAAATGCCACCACCAACCTGTAAGTGAAGTGTTCACTTAAAAACTCAGATGCATCGCTGAGTACAGGCAGCAGCAGGTCCCTTAATGGAGGCAATGACAGGCTTCAGCTCCTGAAGTACTTCTGTGCTATTTTTGTAAGCCTTGAGAGCCTTAGGAGGACAGGCAGGCGTGCACGGTCGCCTATTTTCTCTCTCTACAGCAGTAGCAAATCTGAAATTGGTCAGCATTACAGCAACCGGGCAAGAAAACCTGCGACAACAGTATGGAAGCTGTTGGGATGAACGAAATAAAAATGTATTGGCAGGTCAGGGGGGTGATTTGGTAGAAAGGCTGTGGGTTTTGTGCCAGCCACTGTTCAGTACGTCCTAGCATTTATAATAAATTCTCTCTTCCTTCACCTCCTCTCCTCCTCGCATTACCTTTCTCTGCCGTGGACGCTGTAATGACTGATACCAGCTTTACCCTGCAACTGAGCAGCATTCTACTTAAGAGCGGCTCAGAGCCTTGGGCTATTTTTGTTTATTTTGCTGTATTACGTGTGTGTCCAATTAATCTCCAGAAGGAATAACTACACAGGCAGGTCAAGACGAAGTGAGGAGAATACTGAAGTTCTGTCTCTGAAGTTGCTCTCTAATCACAGGTCTGCCACTGGCTTGTTATATGACCCTAGGCAAGTAATTCCATCTCGCTCTACCTCTCATTTTTCTCGGGCTCTCCAGCCTATATCTTTAGTCTGGAAGGTTTCCTGGGCAGCAGTTGCTTAGCATTATGTGCTTGCACAAGGGGAAAACAGCCTGGACTTGCAAAGCGACAGTGATGCAAATACATAATTTTGGTCTCCTTCTCTCTACTCATCCCTCAAATGCCTCCTTCTCCCAGGGACCTCTGGACTCTCCTAACGGGTGGTAAAATGGAGACGTAAGAGCTGGGTAAGCTCATCTGTTTGGTGTTCAAATACTGGCAATGAAAAGGCGAGCACTGCTATGCCTACGCCGAGCGGGGTGACCTGCCTTACTCCGCAGCTGCCTCATGGCCTGAGACAGCCGGGACTGCATCGTTCCTAGCTTTTAAACCTACCCTCCCGTCCTCTTGCTGCTGTAATGCCTCCTCCTCCGCTCCAGGTAAGCCTCTCAGCTTCCCTAGCATCTCTCAGTGTCCCTAAATGTGGGTGGATGGGCTGACGGCTGAGGGTTTGGCAGCTGGTCTTCAAAGGTGGGAACGGCATGGAGTTTGGAATGGAGAAAGACAAGGAGGGGTCTCCTTTGAAGCGAGTGGCTGAATATGTCTTTTTTTTTTTTTTTGCTTCAGCAGTACTGGGGAGCAGCACGGCTCAGTGGCAGCAGAGGGAATCCTGAGCAGAGGTGCAGCAACGTGTTCAGGAGAAGGCAAAGCAGGAGAGGGAAAAAAAATTTAAAAAAAAAAAAGGGGGCATTGTGCTGTGGATAAATGGAGCAAAAGAGAGAAAGGAGTCAGGAGGAGGAGAAGGAGATGTAAAAGCGCCTGATCTTCCACAGAAACATGGTGCAAGCGTGCAACTTGTTACTGCATAGAGTGTGAAAGGAGCAGGGTTTCAATACAAATTTCTTTTCATCTTGTTTTCCTTTTATCATCCCTCCTGATTTGCAGACTGCTGAGACAGATTACCTTCCCCATCCGAACAAAGTCTTGCGCATCCCATTCCAACGCTTCTGCCTCTTCGGAGGTTACCAGACATGATTTTTCCAATCTTTTATATTTCATTATACCAATCACATTGGAAAAAAAAAAACCCTTAGTACGTCTTCTGTGCTGTCCTGTCTTTTGTGCAGTTATAGAGATCTTAGCAGCTCCTTTGCCTCCTTTATAACCCTAAGATTTACTACTGCACATCTTTCAGAAAAGCACCGAGGGCATCTACATGTTCCTGTGAAGCTCATCCATAATGTACCTTTGCCCCTGAATTAGACACCGGATGCTAAAATGGTGGAGGATGTATTCCCCACTGCTCCACTGTGTCAATGTGTTATTTAAAAAGGACATGTTTAAAGCTAGGTTTAAAATCCTGTCACCTATTTAACTGCAGCTACCTGAGAGCATGAAGTTCCTTCTTACCTGTGTGGTAAAATTTTCCTGAAAATCCAAGGTTGAAGGTAAAATTTGCAACCTGAGTGCGCAGTAAATTTTGAGTCTCTAGTAAAGCCTGAAATAAATAAGAAATTAACATGCATTTAGAAAAATGAATATTAATTTTTGGAATGCCTCATTTTAAAAGTTGTGCCCACCTGAGGAGATACAAAAGATAAGATCCTGTAAAATGTTTCATGTTTTATTTTGGGCTCATTCTTTTTTGTAAGACTACTACAGTGAGATTAATTGGTTCCATCCAAGTTTGGTGGTCTAGCACTAAGTACCAAAGTGGGTGTTGGTTCTGTAACTTGGGCCAAGGTACTACACACTGTTTGCAGTGATGTATGGCAGGACTTGAATCCAGCCGTTCAGAGGTAGCAATATCCTAAATCACTAAGTCACCCATGCTTCGGGTTATTAATGAAAGCTTGATAAAATCTGCTTGAAACGTAAAGTAAAATTAGGAATGCTACTTGCCATCCAGATGGGGCGGCGTTGGGGTTTACTTACTTACCTGCAGCAACATTTTTCATTGTGTCTGAATGCCAAATTCAGGCTTAAGTGTGAATGAGCAAAACTCCAATTTTGATCTACGGTAGAAGTAGTGTCCATGTCAGGAATTAAATCCCTGTTTATTTTTATTCTCTCCTCCAAGCAAAAGATAAGACGGGTCTAAATGAAATGGAGGAAAGGGGTATTGCTTAGAGAAGAAATAGGTGTAGTCTTGGTCACCTACCCATTTTTTTTTTTGATGTATTTCCAACCACTAGAGAAAGAGAAAAGACGGTTCGGCCTGTGAGAGCTATCCACATTCTCCGTTAGTTGTCAGCTCTGCGCTGCTTCTAAAGATAGCCCTTGCTGCACAGATATCTGTCCGCTCTCAATCACCAGCCCACGTAATTTGGACGTGCTACATATGTGAGATGGATAGTGCATTTATCTCCCTATTGGTCTTGCCAATGGTGAATGGGTTATAAGCTCTGTTTTCATCAATTTTCCGTGTCTCCATTATGAGGCTCTTGAGAAATTTTCCCATTATCTATTAAGGACATTTCTATTGATCGAGTGTTCATGTGCTTGCACAGTTCAAAGACAAAATGAATGCAGTGGTTTACACAAATTCCGAGTCCAGCTGATGTTTCCTTTCATTTGGAAAAAAAAATTACATTTTGTATGGTCATTAGTAATTTCACTTAACATTACAAGAGAATAGTATTACCTCTTTTGCCCAACCCACTGGTGTAATTTAAAAACCACCACCACTAAACTCTACTTGTGACCATAAACCAAAAGTATCGCCAGTCCAGTGTAAATGATGAAATCGGGTTTTAAGCAGCTGAGACTAGTGGCCTATGCAATCCTAGTCCAGAGCAGTCCAAAATAAGCAGGTTGGGTATCCATGGTCTCATGATTTATCGTATCTCCTTCACACTGCAGTGGGTTGGGAGGTACCATCAGCATTTGCTGTAGGATATGAACTTCTTAAAGTTACTGACCCCATCCTAATTAGGCAGATATTTGTGTACCGCACTTGCCGGAGCACAAGCCTCTTCTGAAGCATCATTTGCTAACAGCCGCCTTCTAAAGAGGCATTGTTTGGGTGCCGGGCAGCTCAGGAGTGTAATACAAAAGGTTGTCAGATAGCCTGCATCTGCCTTCGTTTCTTTAAATAGAAACATTTATTGGGTATTGAGAAAGATGTAAAACAAAGTGGTTATCATCGGCTACAACAGTCACCAAGCAAATTCCTTGCCTTGCTAAAGGAAATAATCTAATGCCAGCAAATCTCGTGTTTTAGCATTAAATATTAAGATAGAAGTATGGTTTCCAGCCTATCTTGATGGAAAATTAATAAATTATTTCAATCCTGTGACAATTTCACATGTGGGACTATATTTACTTAATATATAACACCTAAATGTTCGCTAAAATATAAACCTTAGAGATCACCGCCATTGTTAGCCAGGACATGGAGGAAAATCCCCAATTGGCAAAAACCAGCACTAAATTAACACCATTAAAGTCACAAGCCTAGAATCTGAGTCATTATATTTTAGAAAATAATTTTCCAAGCTATCTAGAGCATTTTATATATGTTGAGAAAGACTGATGGGCTGCGCAAAATCAACTCCATTTTCCTTTGAGGAAAGAACATCTTGAGACATTAGCATCCCTTAACACGCAGTATAAGAAGGTACACAAACCAAACACCATTATAGCACCTCGGTTTTTCTCTCTGATTTCCCTCACACTCACATCTCAATAAGATGACAAAACTGCGGGATAGGCAGAAGCCTTCCAGCCCAGCGAGGTCTCATTAAAAACACAGAGCGAGGATTAAGATGTAAATCCTGTAACCTGCAGTGTGTCAAGCATTTTTCTCTGTCTAAAGGGCAAATCTGTCACTCAGACTAGATTTGGCTTGGTCCTAAAGACTCTCTTTATTGCAGTTTCCACATATGCATATTAATTTATTTAATATCCAGCTAAACTTTATTTTCGTGACCTCACCTAATTTTAATACTAAGAAGGTATTGTCAGCTAAGTCAGTCCAAACTTATTTTGTCACTGCTTGGCTGTTTGTAGAGGGGGGGTTTAACATCTTCCACATCCTTAATACAAAAAAACCCCAGTCTCTGTTTAGGTGATTAGGGTTTGCCTTCCCTGTTTTTCATAAATACATATTCAAACAAAATTGCTAATGACTCATACTGCCTTCACTGGTAATTTTGCGCAGTAAATAATGAGAATTTTTGTCTCCTGTAGGTACAGACCTTACCAGCACGCAGCATAGAAAAGTGCCGCAGCAGGAGGAGCGCAGACAACTTCCTTCCATCGCCCTTCCCGCGCTCTCCTGCGTGGGCGAACCCCTGCCTGTTCCCCTGTTTGGCAGGGCAGCTGCCAGCCCCGCCGCTCGGGCAGCCCTCCGGCTCCTGGGTGGTGCAGGGCAGAGGAGCTGCGCATCCCTGGCATCCAGTGCCAGCAAACTTTCTGGAACTTGGGCAGCCTTGGCGCGAGGCAGAAGGTATTTATTTTAGCGTGAAGGGTTTGCCAGATGGGGAAGAGGTGTTGAATTTTAACAGCTGGCGAGCCTACCCAACACCAGGTACAAACCCAGCTATTCACGCCCTGCCTGGCCCTGCCGTGCCATCCCAGCTCCCCTCGGCAGCCCTCCTTCCCTGGGGACTCACCTGCCCCTGCCCCATCCCCGCCCCTGTCACATGCTCATCTGGGGACTTTGCTGCTTTAGAATCATCGAATCGTTTAGGTTGGAAAAGCCCTTTAAGATCATTAAGCCCAACTGTTCCCCTACCCCTGCCATCCCACCCCCAAACCCTGTGCCTAAGCACCTCATCTGCCCGGCTTTTAATATCCCCAGGATTGGGGACTCAACCCCTTCTCTGGGCAGCCCCTTCCAATGCTTGACAACCCTTTTGGGGAAAAAATTTTTCCTGGTGTCCAACCTAAACCCGCCCTGACACAACTTGAGGCTGTTGCCCCTTGTCCCCATCGCCCATTACGTGGTAGCAGAGACTAACACCCACCTCAACACGCCTTCACTGATGGAGCAATGGTCGGTGCTGCCCACAACTTCAGCAGAAGGGAAATTCATACAGAGGAATGTGGTTTATAAAAAAAAAAAAAAAAAGGTATGACAAATCTTATTGTGTAGAGAAGACTTTCTCCTGGATATCTCATGTGACTGCAGTATTTAAGTTCTGTCTGCCAGGGTGTGTCTTCTCCTCAGAGTCAGTGGGATTATTTTTTTTTTTTCGAATGCTATTTGCATGTGCTAATACAATTAGCATTCCCTATTGAACTCGTAGGGGTGTGTTAAAACAACAGCTGGAACTCACTGTTGTTTTTATTTTGGGGCAGTTAAATAGATCATGCTAAATAATTATCGCTCTCCAAGGAAAGAACCGGGTAGCACACCTGCACATGGACAGGCAGGCACGTCCCAGTGCCAGGCTAAACAAAGTGCCTTCCTGGTTGGTTTTGGGGGCTTGGAGGTTTTTTTGGGGGGAGGTAATCCAAGCTGTTCTTTCAACTACAAAACCTTATTTGCCTGAACCTCTCTCAAAACTCATGGGTTTAATTTTATTAATTGATTCTTTGCTTTGTCAATGAGGCTTCTCTGTGACATCCACAAGATAGGGTTTCTTTTTTATATTGCATTTACATTCAGCAGTCTTTTACATTAATCCATATAATTACCTTTGGTGGATTTGAAGTTGCTGTGTCTTTATTCTTCATAATTGGTGCATCTATTAAACAGAAGTGATATTTTCCTGCTATGTCCTTGTTAATTAGAACTCTATCCTTCATTTACGTAATAAACTTTTTGGGGCAATTTCTGCAGTAACATTTCATGCCTAATAGGAAGCAATTTGCTTTCCTTTATTAAGTACATTAAAACTTCATGCCCCAGACATCATTGACTGTAAACATTTGATTCTGCTCAAATTTAATGCACCAAGGCATTTTGCTCTGCCATATTAGGTTTATTTATGTGCTATGTTCTGGATTGTTAGCTGCTAATGAGACTTCGGCTCTTATTGCTCTAAGGCCTGAACACTAACCTCATTTTAATGAGTTCATTATTTGCTGCCTTCTGAATGGAAGACAACAAATTTTCCTTTTAATTAAAGGTCAAAACACCTCTGGCTAAAGAAAGTGAAGAGGTTATCAAATCCTTAGAGAAGGTAAAAGAATGACTTTTTCTGATTTTGATGCCAAGCGTGGGCAGGCCAGGCTGAGGGGGAAGGTGTTTCTCTGGGGACCAAAACTCCAAATCTAAGCTAAGTGATAACAACACTAAAATGTGGTACTGGTCTTCCCAAGACGTTGTTTAAAAAAAAAAAAAAAAATCCCAAAAGTCAGCCAAAGTAATTAAAGAGGCTTTACTCCTAACCCAAAGGTCTGTGTGGATCAATACTACCGCTAAAGCATGAGCCCTTCTTTGCATGTGCAATGATTTATGGGGTGCAGAGGACAGACGCCGGATTAATTGAGCCAACAAAAACTAATCTCATCTTTCTTATTGGGGAAAGTGAGGCAAAAGTGGTCAAT